TTTTTAGTAACAAAATAATAAAGAAAAAGCTAAATTCAACCATGGTTTAACATAAAACATAGCTGAGCACTTAAGAAAAAAGTTACATTGTGAGTGATCTCATCTTATGCTTATTAATTGCCCTTCTGAATCCTCTATGTTAATCTTAGTCTCACACTGATATCCAGCAGCTGACATTTCCACAACAAACTACGAATTATAACAATTAGGAAATTAAACAAACATGTCTAAACAGAATGAAGTAAGCCAAATACTGTAAATTCTAAGTTTTGACTGATTGCCTTAAAAAAAAAAAAAAAGGCAAGACAAGTCTAAATTATATTTGCTGCTCACGATGAACAGATTAGTTCTCAGGGAGTCTGAAGTATTTGGAAACAGACTGTTGAAAACTTAAAAACAGAACTCTCAAACGTGCAATCAATGATCTTATAGTGGTACAACAAACACAACTGAGGTAGTTGATAATTATTATGATAAAACAAGGATTCATTTATGCCCACTGAACTTTCAAATCTAAGATAAGAGTCCAAAATATTCCAGCCTAATCTCTAAAAATGGAAGTGTATTCATGAGAAATAACAAAACTGTCACGTTCATACTCACCGGAACTTTACTTCCGACTATCTGCATGCAGTGGTCAGCCAAGGTTATTGTGTAAAAAAGATAATAATAATAATACATAAATAAACACAGCAAAGTACTTAGTAGGATGTAGCATCATACAAATTTTTCAGTGTTTAATCATTAGTGGTAGTTACATTCTTTTATTATTTTATCAAACTGTTTAAGAGTTACAGCTTCTCAACAGGAAAACAGTAGTTCTACTGTAGGAGAAATAATTTGAAATTCCTATGTTCTGCTGCTGAATCATCAGTACTTTACACATCTACAAATAAATAACTAAATACCTACATTGACATCTGCATCTCGAAACATTGAGAGATATGCCATTTTGTTTAAATTATCAGGTCAGATATTTTACATATGACCCTGAGAAAACTACATTAAAACTAATGGCATACTGACTTCCTTGTATGTGTAACAACTTCATTTATTATGGAGCTTCTGTTCTATTTAGATGATGTCATCACTGAATTTAATTAAGTCTTCATAGTCAAAAACATAGCCTACAGTTATAAATCTAACTTGCATTTCAGAAAATCTCATGTGGCATTTTTTTTCAGCTGCTCAGCATGGATGCTTTTAATTACATGGATAATTAAACAGTGATTTACAGAATGACTTTTTTTTTTTTAACCATGGAACAGCATCTCTGCTTATTCATGTACAAGAAGCTGACTTTACATGGAAGAAACTGCATAAAGGCAACACATCTCTGCCCTGCTCTATCTCTTTGCATGAACAACCATTTTCCTGTGAACACCAGGACTATGAACTTCTGCATAAACATTGCAGGCCTTTTCTAGTCTGTTATTTGCTGCAATCTGACAGCAGCCAGGTTATTGCATAACCACTTTTGTCTGAGTAAGAGCCTGAGACAGCGTGATTTTGTTCCAATATCTGAATTTGATCGTATCTGTTCAGCCTCCACCTGCTTCGTTTTCTTCTCTTATGTCTTCTGTCATTCTTTTAGGAAGTTTGTCAGAAGACAGAAATCCCTGCAAGTCTTTCACAACCACCCCTTCTCTTCTGGGTGAGGCTTCCTCTAGAAGCACAAGATGAACTGTCATCACCAGACAATTCCTTTTCCTAATTTACTACCTTCTTCTCTCACCAATGTTCAACTCATTCAGTATGACAGGTCACCAAGTTCAATTCTGAAATGGAATTCTGAGCCTGCACCATTTCCCAAGTATAACTTCCATGGTCAACAATCTTTGTCTTTGATTGAAAGAAGGAATCACAAGCACAGATAATCACTTGCCATGAAAGCATCCAGCTTATTAGCTTCCATCTTTCCTCCACCCCCCAAGGAAAAGGAAAGCTTTTTTTTTTCCCATCCATTGAAAACCAAGGTTTCTTTCTCACTTGGAACTCCAAAGACATTACAGTGTTTCAGAAAAGCATGGTCAACATGCTGCAGATGGCACACAAGGCAGAGAAAATGTAGCACCAAATTTAAAAATAATTTGGTTAAGACAACATCAGTAACTGAGAGTGGTATTTTCAAATGAGTGGAGAGAGCTCAAAAGCCTAACTAAAACAAACATGAAATGAACCAGAAGAAAAGTGACATCAACTGTTAAGTGTGCTTTGTGAGCTCTAAGCAGAAGAAAAGGCCCAAGAATTTTCAGTATAAACACAGAAATCAGATAAACAATTATCTGTGACCAAAGAAAAAGATAGAAAATTTTAAGAAAGATCATTTTGAATGCAATCAGCATTTTCATGGAAGACAAGCCTGAAGAAAAGAAAGACTGACAATTCATGACAGTAAAATCTGGTTAGGGCTTGTATTCAATTAGTAGTTTAACAAAACAAAAGATGAAATTAACAGTGAAAGTGAGGTTTCAGTTCATTCTAAGATCCCAATAAACGTTTTACAACTGAGCTGTACTTTTTTTATTTTTTAAAACAGCTAAGATGCTAGCTATTTAAAAGCTAAATTAGGGTAACACACTACAGAAAGGTTATTGATATTTCTGAACAACCTGAAATTACTCCATTGAAATGCTGCGATTCAATTGCAAGAAGGACTTACTGAAGCACACAAACGTCAACACGAGTCATCTTTCCATTAGGAAAGACATTTCGCACATGCATAACACATCCATACTGGTGCTGACTTAAGTTCAAAGCACACATTTATGTATGAGGCAATTTGGGGATCTGATTATTTTTATTTATTTTCTTAAAAATTGTTAGTACATTTTGGTGAACATATCCCCAGTTCTGATAAATTTCCCATGCTGTAGCAGATATGGTGGCAGTAATGCAATCCGTTAAAATTTTCAGCAGTTAGACATGCAGTGGCAGCCATGCTTTTCTTACTGAGCTACAAAATTATGGTACTTGAAGCAGCTACATTTTGATATCAATATATATAAGAGAGATCACCATTGCCCAAACACATTTTGGTAAAAAATTGCAAGTACTTCCATTGTAAAAGATTCTACTGCTTTACTAAAATATTTTCACTTACAAAGAAAAACTTAAGATTTAACATTGATCATCAAGTGAAAACAAAAATCTTAAAACACGCAATCAATAGTTCCTGAAGATAGTCTACGCAAAGTAAACTAACAGGAAATTTCATAGTATTCACTGCATAAGCTTGAATAATTCTCCGATAACTTATATGTTTAGCTAGACCATGCTTTAAGCACTGGACTCCTTCCAGGACAGACTAAAGGACTATGGATTTATTTATTGAAATATTAACTCATGCAGGAACATCACTCCTCTTAGAAACATAGAACACCAATTTCACCTTTTAATGCAAGGGGTTTTCTCCCCACCTAAATTCGTAGTGTCCACTGCAAAGCAGTTGCATTTGAGAATTGCACGTCATCGTAGTTTTAGTTTTTTGAAATTCAACTCTGTAGAGCAGATTTTAAAAATTAAAAAAAAAAACAAGTCAACTGTACTGCTTGCAGTCCATGCTCAGAGATTCATTAGGCAGACACCAACATAGTGAAATAAACTGGCAAATAAGACTAAGAAACACATTATTATTTAATGTTATCTGTATTTAGCACTCAGACCTAGCTCTGTAGAACTACTAGGAGTGCAGTCATTGTGTTTGAGCAATTATTCCACACATAGTCTTCATTTCCAGTAGCCTTTTATTGCACACAATAACTTAGGTGTGAAAAAAAAAAACCAACCAACTAATCCTGATTTCCAAATAAAATCATATGCATTACGTAAGTTTATTCAAGAACTATGCTGATAGAAAATTTTATCAATTCAAGCATACTACTGCCCCTTGAATACACAACGCTACCCCTCACCAACACTTCTTCCTAATACGGCAATACATTCAGGTCCTCAGAACTCACCACTGGCCTCTCAAGTTCTTTATACAACAAATAGGGACACAAATCAGGACAAAACCTATTTCTAGGGATATCACAACATACATATATTGTTCTGTTTCATCCAACATTCACGAATTTCTGTGGCATATTCTCCTTTTACATGATAAGAACTGTATTTGCCATAGTCAATTTTTAACACACAAGAAGCATTACTATTGTACTTTCTAACTAGTTAGTACTAATAGCCCCAATGCAGAAAATAAATTACAGCTCTTCACTTATTGAAATGGTGTTTCTCCGCAAATGTTGGGGCATCCAACAGTTCTCTTACAATTCTGGCAGCCCGAAACAGTGAGACTTCAAAAATACTGCATGAAGGATCCATCAACTAACCGTTAATCATTCAACTTAAGTACAGAGAATGATCAACAGGAATTAAAATTCTGAATATATTTTTTTCTACTCAAGATATAATTTGAAACTCATTTTAAGACCATCTTTTCACCACAGGAATCATCTTATTTACCTTCAAAGCATTTTTTAGCAGAATATTTAATGCAATCTTCAAGCTAGCAACAGTACTCAACATATTCAAATTAAGCTAAAATAGCGACTCTACTTCAATTTTAAATACTTTCAATATTTTCACTCCCTGTTTCTAACACTGCAAGTTGTACATCCTATATATATATATATGTCATTACTGAAACCATAAAGTCATGCTATGCCTTCCAAGAACTTCTGGTACCAAAAAATTTGTATAATGAATTCCACAGAAATACTCTATATCACTGGATTTGCAATTTCTTATGGTTTACATGAAAGCACCAAGCTTTTACATTACCCTAACCCTAACAACTCAAATACAAACTAACCCTTCAGATACAGCTGCAAGCATTTAGAAGTATCTTAGGTAATACAGATAAGTTTTTTCCTACCACTCTTCAACGATAAATCCAGACAAAAAAAAAAAAAAAGGAAAGTTTCAAGCTTGACAAGCATAACACTCATGAAGCTAAGCTTCTTACTTTCATCTGTCTTGGAGAGGTGACTACTTACAGATTTGGCAGTTGCAGAAATGTACTGGACAACCATCTCACGTTTTGTGGTCAAGTCTTTATCTCTCAAAGGAGCTTTACGTTCTTCATTTAGATTCATGTCTTCCTGTAAAGAAAAAGACCACACAACATTAAGACTCTATTTCATGCTTTTCATTAGTCTTTGTTATTTTCATACTCCTTTTCTTAAACAAATGGCTCATGATAAAACAAACAGAAGTGGCTTTTTCAGTTTATGCGCGTTTCAGTTTGTTTAATTCTGAACTACCCAATTTTCCCATATAATCCTGTCACTTCCAAGTGTTCACTGTTTTCAAGACTATAATTGCATAAAGGGTAGTTACTATTAGTGAAATTTGACTCGGGAAATAAAACTAGAGGACAAAACCAAAAATTCTACAGCTCAAGCTGATCACCTAAGTGTTATCTCTTGTGAAGTTCCGGTGTTTTTTATAAAATCTTATCACAACAGATATCATTTGTACACTATTTAATCAGAAGACTGTTATTATATAGATTATTAGCTTGTGGCAGGGGTAGATTTGAATGTGTTCTAATTGATCTATTTAAAACAAACCTAAAAATCAAAATATTCTGCTAGATTAAATCTAAAGATGCCTGTTGCAACTTAATAACTGATTAAATACAACATGTAGTCTTGCCACTAAAAGTTCAAGTAACTTCAGATTAACAACTAAGACCAGTCAATTTTACTGTAATAACTTACCAGCTAACAGGTTTTTCAAAGAACTATTAGTCTCTGGAAGACAGACTCACTGTCCGCTTCAATTAACATTACTTGGAAAAGTTAAAAATAAATCCCTTAATCTAATAAGCAAATCAAGCAAGTATTAATTAATACTTATCCAATGTTTCAAAAGAGACTCACAACTTCATTGAACAGAGTAGAGCTACACAATGGAACAGGACAGTTCGTAGGCCACACTGACTCTGTAGTAGTTTAAAACAATTTTAAAGAATGATACAGAAGCCAGTATTTCTAACAAGGCTCAAAAGACTGCATTTCCTGATACTTCATGCATCAACACCGATATGCATGGCAGAAGTAATAAAGACCTGCTTCAAAAGTTTGTGTCTGTATTACTAATAGAAAAGCTTGCGTGCGAGTACAATCACAAACCTTGACAAGTGATCCTAGGACAGAATATATTCAAGACCATACAAAAATTCAGCTTTCTATGCATTAAAATTTTATGAATGGGAGTTACTATTTTCCAAAGGTATTTACTTAAGTTTATTAAAAACTATCCTTTAACAGCATTATCTAACTACTGAAACTAAGGTCTATAGAGGTTGTCTTAATGAAGCAATCAACATCTTACAATTTTTCTTTTTTTCTTTTTGGCTTTTTTGCCTTTGTTTTCTCTATAGAAGTAGACCAAATAATTTAAATATATATAATACTAGCATTCTACGAGTTACTCAGTTGTTTATGTGCCAATTCAGCCAGGTCTATCAGGCCTATGCTATGCCTTCTCAAGTAGTTACTACTTCCAAAATGACAACATTTGAAAATCACTACTGCATAACAAACGCCAACATGAAAACAAAGTAAAACCTTACAAAACCACGTAGCACAATCTTACCATCATTTTTTCAAAGAGATCCATGACTTCTTTTTCTGATAAGTTCATGCAACGCTCATCAACAAGTGCCTGGGCAAGCGGGATTTCACTTATAGAAGGTTGAGAGTCAATAGGATGCTGAATGAGAGGTTTCTCTTTTTTCACTGCTGATTTTCTGAAGCTTGTTATTCTGTCACGCTGCAAAGACATCCATTTAAAAATAAGCAGAAATAGAAATATAGGAAAGCAGCCAGTTGCATGGCAGTAATACAGACATTTTTAGTTAATCCAAGCAGCAAAGTTAAAACTCAAACTGAACTGTAAGTGAAAATACTCTTAACATTCAGAAATTACTTTTCATGGAAAGACAGCAACGTTTTAGGTAAATTCATGACAGGTCACATGCAAAAAGGATATAACTATTTCTCACAATTTCAAAAGTATGCCATCTTTGTTAAACTGTTAGCATTTCAAAATCTTGAATTCATCTTCTCACATTATTCCCTAATTATCCTGATAGTGAATAAGCATGGTACCACAAAGGTAATGTCCAAGCGTTCCTTCACCTGAAGAGCTATAAGTCTTTGGAGGACAACTGAAAAAGCCAGCGTTGGGAAGGAGGTACTCACAAGTTCATCAGGCTTATAAAAAAATCCTGCTAAAGTAAAATAAAGTTTGTAGAGGAATTAATGCTCCAAGTATCATTCACAATTCCTTGAAGTATTTTTGAGTACCGACTCCTGAAATTAGTGCATAATTTTAAAAAGCCAGGTAAAAGATTACTCACATAGAAGCAGCCATCCATAGTTAAATACACATAACAGACATTAGTGAAAGCATATCATATAATCTGCAACGATGTTTCACTGATTAAGGCTGACTTGTTTTAGGCCTTACACCAAACCCCCGCCTTTTTTTTTTTTTTTTTAAAGCATGCTTACTCAGTTAATTTGTTAATATTGGAAACCAACAAGAGCACCTTCCTTATAAGGCCATTTATGACTGTATTATTAATATTCTGACTATTAAGAATAGAGTTATAATTTTTTTATTTAATAATACTGTCTTTAACTATATATATGTATGTTCATTTTGAGAATGTTATGTCTGTAACGATTTTTCTAAATTAACTGTTTGCATCAACAAATACTAATGTATTTGTTTCAGGCATTGAACAGCCTTATGAAGATGTGCTTTCATCTAACTGCAGCTTATGTAGGGTTACCAGTATCATTCATAGCAGTGACTGCAACCTCTATGAAGACATGTAAACCAAAATTTATATTTTCTATGAGTAAACAACCTCTGTGAGGTGTGAAAAGTTTAACAGAGTATTTAATTTGTAGGAAATCTGGATTCATTTTAGATTAGTTCATCGACAAGCAGACAAATTTAACCAAGTGCTATGGAATATGGGCAAGAAAGGATCTTTTTTTTTTTTTTTTCAACCATTGTTTTGTTTCTTTTTCTTGTTTTGTTTTGCTGTTGGGATTTTTTGTTGTTCGTTTTTTGAGATCCTACAAGACTACCTTAAATTTTTGAAGGGAAAGTATCCCTAGATAAGCTGCATGTCCTCTGAATTGCTTTGGAGGTTTTGGGGGTTTGTTTGTGTTTTTGAGGGGAAGGGGCATTGGGTTTGGGTTTTCTTCTTCCTTAGAAGTCTTACATTTGTGGACAGAAACACATTACCTACAAGGATACTGTTAATGTTTAAACAATGCAAGAATTTTACTTTAATCACATTTTTTTTCTTATTAGGATAGTTTACTTAAAATTTTTTGAAACTAAAATTAGGGCATAGGCTATTAAAAAGGCCAAAGATATGACATAATGCCTGAAAGGCAGTACTGAAAATTAGCCAATATTTATCAAATGTAGTTTTACTGTTCACTTACGTTAAAATGCCCATTCAGTAGTCACAAAAAAAAAGAGCTCCATTTAAGATGAATTTCACCATACTGTGATCTGTTTCAAGTATACCCTATTAACAACAAATTTGTTTAATCATATTGCAAAGGTGAGATCACTTTAAAGCCATAAATCAATCTTCTACATGATTACTAAGTACAATTTCTTCATTTCAGACATGTAAGTGATCATTGCTAATAGCCAGTGTGGCTTAACTATTATACGTAGAAAATAAAAATTTATAATTTTACTTCAATCAATTTTGATATGTTTCTATAAAAATACTTTGCAACCAGTTTCAAAGTATTCAGAGTTGGTGCTACTGAATACAAACTTATTGTTTGACTTACAGTACACGCTTATTACCCAAAATGGTTCCACCTCAATCATGTGGCAACTAACTTTGAAGAACCACTGCAGATCCTTTACTGTTAAAAAGAAGGTCAAGAGAAATAACCCTTGAACTGTTGAAGTTTCAACATATCCACAATAATACTAAAGTAATTAGCAATATTACTAAAGTAATTAGAATGTAGCTAACGAAGCTTCTCCAAATAGATATCATTACTTACACTTCTTCAACTTGAGTTACAAATTAATATCTTTAGGAATAGTAACTCAATTTTCTGAAATCTGATACTTAATATCCTTATAAGAACGTGTTATATCGTCCACAACATTTAGAGTAAAATAGCATGCAACATGGAGTTACCATTGCAAATTAAGATGTTACAAAGACCTTACCACATCATCTGCCAAAGTTTTTATTTGAATATTCTATTAAAAAAAAAAAAACACACACACAAATCAAAGAAAAAAAATAGTGTTACCTACTGTTTCAGAATAAAGTCCACAATTTATGCATTCTAACATTAAAAAGCACTTAACATTTCAGTAACTGTTCTATCAAAACTGCAGCTAAATGAGCATGGAATCTACTGCATTTTACGTGAAAAAGCAGGCTTGCATCCCATTTCACCTTGTCTTTTGCTTATTTAACTCATGAGCCTGAAACCTGTATAGCTCTAGCACCCTCACTATTCCACAAAAAAAAGCAGTAAGAGCTCTTAAAAAGCTTTCCAAAACAAACATGGACTATTGGACTTCAAACAGAGTCAGCATACAGCTAGATGACATTCTCAGTTTTGAAGAGTTTGAGACTCGGAGAGTTGAGGAGAATTTCCTGTGCCCTAGATTCTCAAGCCTTCTGCCAATTTCTCCTTAACACTGAGTAATGCAAATTGATAGATGAACTGTTTATAGCCAGTGTATTGATGACGCACAAACCAGTCACTACTATCTCTCCCTCCCCATTACCTTCTCACTTTCTCCTTAACAGCAGTAAAATCCTGCTGACAAAGATCACCACCATTACATCTTTATTCGTGGCCAAGAAGGCAATCTATATCGTATACCAATATCAACAATTTTATCAAGGAAGAATTCAATTAATAAACTTGCTCAATTTACACCAAGCAGTCCTGAATAGGTAATTAAGATCTAGAACTTTGGGGGGGAGGGGGCGGGAGACGACACAGGAATCTGGCAAAAAGTACAGCTCTATATGAAGAAGCATGGTCATTGATCCTTAATGACACAGCCCTGCAAGTCACTGGCTAGGAAAAAGTGACCCTATTTTCTTTGCGAAGTTTCAGATCCCTTGGTTATGCTCTCACCAGTTGAAACCATCAAGGTGCTTCTAGTCAGTATCGTACACCACTGCCTATGGTTAACAGGGTGGGCGAGTTCAGTGTTACTGGAAACGAACCTACAACTGTTCAACATATACACCACTGTAATTCCCCTTGGTGGAAGATACTAAAACACCATGCTGTTTCTAATTTTACTTTCTGTCTCTTGGTTAGTTGTCAATACTGTATTTCTGCAATAAAGCAATTTGCAAGACTATACAAATAGTGGAGGAGGCATGAAGGTGGGAAGGAGGGACTATGTGTTCATACTTCATCGTATCGTGAAGATAAGCATTCAGAGGTATCCAGGAGAGCGTGGTGGACAGACCCTGGCTGACAGGTCAGTCCCCACCCAGCCATGTGCTCATTTCCTCACAGCAGGATCAAGTAAAGACTCAGAAGCGCAAAAGCAAGAAAAACTCATGGGTTGAGATAAAGACAGTTTAACAAGTGAACGGGAAGAAAAAAAGATAAAGAAACAAACGATCCAAAAGCCATCACTTGTCACCAGCAGACCAATACCTACCCAGCCTCTAAGCAACTGCTACATTGGAAAAAACTCCTCCTCCCCACCCTGCCGCCCTGGTTTTATTGCAGAGCATGACATTATGAATTATCCCTTCGTTCAGTTTGGATCAGTTGTCATGGCCATGTCCCTTCCCAACCTCTGGTCCACCCCATCCTACTCCTGGGGGAGTGGGTGGACACAGTAAAGAGAAGGTGGCCTTGACACTGGGTAAGTGCTGTTAAGCAAAAGCTAAAATATTGGTGTTCTATTAACACTGATTCGGTAACAAGTCTAGAACACAGCACCATATGAGCTGCTACGAAGAAAATTAATTCCACTCCAGCCTGATCCAGTACAGACAGCTAGGATAAAATCTCTCTCTTTTACTACACCAGATGTTGACACCAAGGACCTTTGACCTTCCTGACGGCTGTATCTCAAACTTCTTCCTTACAGCTACACCTCTCCTGTATTTTTTTTACCTGGTCTTACTACGGAATTAAAAGAGGAACTAATAATCTAATCTTGAAATGAAAACTAGGATGTCCTTACTCTGGAAAACAGACTTTTAATTTTTAATTATTGAGCCAGAATTCCAAATGAAGTAAAGCCTAACCACGACTTCAACCCAGAGACAGCTATATAAGCAAGAAGTGCTGAAACTCTGTATCCGCTTTAGCAGCCAATTGTACTAGAAATACTTCTTCCCCCTGCTTCTCATTTAAGTACTGTCAATCTCTCCCAGAACCTGGAACAGAATAATCTACTCCATCTCTACATTTATATTGCATTTGTCACTCAAAGTCCTCTGGACAAAATACAGAATACTAAAGCAAGATACCACACAGCATTTTTTCAGACATCTCAAGCTCACTTCCCAGATCTCCTTATGGTGCATAAGCTACACTGCTGCCAGTAGCTACTCAAGATAAGCAACACATTTAACAGGTAGAAAAAAAAAAATGCAAGTAGCTGGAGGCAGAGGCAAGGCAGTTATGTACCTGCAGATTCTCACTGACACACAATTTTGACAGTCTCTTATACTAACAAAAAAAACACACTTGCAATCTGATTTAAGAACATAAACCAAAAGTAGTTTACCTCCCCAGGAGGAAGTTGAAGATACCGCAGTTTGTATAGTCAGTCCTCTAGCGTTATTCTTTCAGCCATCATCACATCACAAGATGAAAAGAAATCAACATTTTCCTAGCTGGTTAAAGACACTAACTCCATGATTTCAGAAGCAGCCCAAAGGCAAAGGTTTTGCAAAAATTTCTATGATAGAACATTTGCAGATAAGGGATATCAGACTAATGTTTGTATGTATAAATGTTTATACAATTTAAGATGGCAGCATATCATATCTATCTCGTAGTTTTTAATATCAACACAAACCATGGAATTCATCAGCTCGTATATAAAAGAACTATTTTCTACTGATTTACTTAGTTCTTTACGTAGAAGACTTAAGTGACAGAGCTTCTCCCTTTTGAACAGTCTTTCCAGTCCATCAACAGTTAAATAATATCACTTTCTATTTACTCCTCCCAATTTTACTCTAAGTTTCCCACTACTTTCATAAGTACTGACCGATCATGACAATAAGACCCACAAAAATCATAGTAATACTAATGCAACTGCATCACACTATTCTTTTATTGTAAAGGTCAGCCTCAGCCACATTAATATTCAGAGTAAATGAAATCTTGCACATAAAAACATTAGGCAGATTTTCACCATAGTTCACTACATTTATTGGTATAAAAATCACCATTTCCTCATCCAAGCTCCGTTCAGGCTACTGCAGTAACAATGTCAACATTCAAAGAATTAAACAACTTGAGATGATTCCATTAACTTTTAATGCAAAACTCACAGCAAGTCTACTTTTTTGTGAATCTTTTTCTAAGTTATGTATTAATAAAATTTTCCAGATCATTGGAGCTGACCATGAGTTGTAAATTAAGGTGTGTTTACATGGGTTGATTAATCTTTCCATTATATTAAAGTATTACTTTGCCATGTTCTTAATTGTTACATTCAAGAGTTGCTTCCACCACAAAAATAAAACCAAAAACAACTCAGTTTACTGCATCTATAAAGAAAGAGTGATCAGCTGGGTAACTTCTAAACTTAACAGCAATTTTCACTCGACTGCACACTGCTCAGGCAAATCACGGTGAGCTGCAAGACCCGCATCTGCACACAGGGTACAGCTTGAGGTAACAGCTCCAACTGCTACTAGCAACCCTAATTTTCTAAGGGTAACAAACAACAACTTGACATTCTCTTAACTTTCTTCGTTTTAAACTGACCTATCTGTTTTCCAAAATCTACCTGGATTTCAATACCCACAGAAGGCATTGCAAAACTTTGCTCAATGGTAAGTGTTTTTAACTTGCTGCAAATAAGTTTGCATACAACCAGGAAGGGAGTAACTTCCCATATGAGTACCTGAACCAAGGGAGCTTAAAGGGACAAAACCCAAAACGGGTTAATATCCGCAGTACAAGATGCCATGTGCAACTCAAGTCTAGGTTTTACAGCCACAAAATAGAATTCACTCCTATAACCTCTGCTTTTCAGTACAGAGAATGCATAACTTTCCTGTTAGACAATGTAGCCATCTGTTAGCATATTCAATTTTGTAATTAAATGTAAAGAGATACCTACGAAACTGTGAAAAGATACCAGAGTCACGTTAGCTGATGTGCAGAAACTAGAATTACACACTCATTTAGGACTTTAAAGATCTTTATCCATTACAAAGTATATCTGGTATTAGTAATAAAATTAGTAAAAATATAATTCACAAAATGTTTGCTTTCTAGTAATTTTTTTGGCACTTCAAGGAACATGCATCATGCTTGCAAGAAGAACTTGAAATGATTGTTGTAATCCACCTAGAATATCAAAGATACCTGAAGATAGCAGCACTAACAGTTTTGTTACTACTGTTGCATAGTTGTGTTTGGTCTGTATGACACCACACAGAAAATTATTTGCTTTGCAGCAGTTCACTTCAAATTCCTTAAATATGCAGCATTTGAATTATTAAACTAAGGCTTAATCTATAAACTGAACATGAAGGTAAACATTCCCTGGGGCACTACAAAGTGAGACCAAGGAGCAAGCGCACACCTTACACCAGGCTGCCAAAATGAAACTGGAAAGTCATTCCTGTGGGCAGCACAGGACCAGCGCTTAGGCTCGGGGATGGCACCCATCTTCCCAACCAGGGAGCTGCCTGGTTTTCCCTAATTACTCTACTTTTTTCCCCCAGGAAACTGACCATCCAGAAATGAGCAATACTAGAAAAATAACTTAGACAATGCCTCATGCTAAATAAAGCCAGAGGGTCACCCAAGTTGGTAATTAAAAACAGCAGAGGGCACCAATTCTGGGAGATTGAGCGCCTCAGCACTGCCCTCAAACAGGAGAGAGGGGAAACCAGGCCAGAGGTGCGATAATCATATTGGACACTCGCCCTCACAAACGCCACTGGCTGATCCTCATGGGACGAGGGAAAGGGCCACCTCCGCACCGTGTCTCTGTGCAAGGGGAAGAGAGAGACCCTAAGGACCAGCCTCATCTGACTAAAAACGGAGGTTGAGTGAAACTGAAATGGCTTCCTCATTTTTGCCTGACTGGCAGAACACTACCACACACCAAAAGCAAATGGAATGTTCAAAAAGCTGCATTGTTCCAGACGACTTCAAAGAAACCTTTATCAAAAATGCATATTGATTCAGAAGTTGAAAAAAAGAACTGTAAACAAACTTAGATAACCTTAATTTCAACAGTTTTGTCACTGAAGATAGAAAGCAGTCAAGGAAGACAATTCAACTAACATTGATTTTTTTATTTGTAGCTCAAACTGCCACTACTGTTTCGAAAAGTTTGTTTCAGCCAATAATTTATTGGTGCTTATTGATAAGTAAACTTTAAAAATTAGAGCAAAATTAAAAGTTCCTTCCAATACCTGCAGTTCCACACCAGTCTAAGCCCATAAAATTGCTAGTTGTGAGACAAAAGGGTGAGGGTAGCACCAGGAAAGTCAGCAGTCAGATCAGCTTCAACTACTGTAGAAACAATTTCAGAAAGCCTATTAGAAGAAGGAGTTTTCACATTAGCTAGTGCAGAGGCAAATAAAATAAGTTTGGGCATTTTCCAGAGCTACTGCTAGAATCGAAACATTTTCCATCAAGTCTCTGCACCAACCATATCAGTTATCATCACTAAGGCAGCATGGGATCAGTGGAGTTTATAGCAGTCACACTACATAACCAGCAAGTTCTTTATACAGCCAGGATCTCTTCCTTATTTGATATCTAGTGATCATGCAAGACAGATTTTCCGTTCAGCATCCCGGGAAAACCTCTTGCGACAGTAAAGCATCCTTTTCAGTATAGATGAACTGTCTCTCTTCAGGATGCTCTGTAGCTTTTAAATTCCTCACTTAAAAGTTTTAACTAGCAAATTGTTGCTCAGTAGTTTTACAAACTAGACTTTTGAAACAGCCAAGTCATTATTATATTCATAAATTTCACAACAGGCATTGCAATACTGCTTTTATGAAGTGCATACTAGCTTACTAGCCTCAATACGCAGCTTTAATGTTCTAAGAGATTTAACTCATCAAGATCTTTACAAAGGTTAAGAGACATGGCTAACTCTGCCTTTACAACAAGGATTTAAACCATTTTATTTTAGTTTGATGCTTCCATTTTTATTCAGAAATTCTACCCACTTGTTTTAGTACTTAATTTAGAAATGCGTGTGGTATTGCATCATCATTAACCAACAGAAGGTTTTATGGGACACATCTTAAAAAGAAAAAAACCCCAACCAA